ATATTACTTCAATGGGCACTGGTCAAAAATTAGAGTGATTAATTTCTGTCATTTGCTCTCTCAATCTATTATTATTATTTTGTTGGTGATAATGCTAGTAAATTTCAAACACACTCCATTGGTTAGAAGACATACCTTCTATCTTTTTTACTTTATAACGTAACAATTCAGGAGCTCAGTTCACAGCTGTAAGAAAGGAAATCGACAAAAAATTGTCAACTTAAAAAAAATCACCAATTAAACAAAAAGAGATTACTTTCCTGTTATTTAACTATTCTAGAGTGCAACTTAATACTTCTGGTCTGCTTCACTGCTGGGTGACCTCATCTCTAAAAAGCTTACACTGCATTAGGCTCCAAAATCAAATGGTTGAAAGAGATATTACAAGATATTTATCGTGAGTCTACCTTACCAGATCCTAAGTGCCTCCTCAGATCCTAGCACCTAATTCCAAGCTGCCATGTACAAGAAGTGCACTCTATTATATCTGCCTTAACATAAGGTTAGTTTCTTTGCATTACTCTCCTGTGAAAAATGGATCTGAGAATGGCAAGTAGAAGGTGACTGCCTGCATTTCCTGCTAGTGGTTAGCATAAATGAGGCTGTGGATTCTTGGAATACTGCCATGAAGACAGGTGGTCCTCTAAATTTTTATTCAGAGCTCATATTTCTAAGTGCTGAGAAACCACAATGATAGATGACATAAAATGCATGGCTAGATATTCAAGGAATTAGTTTAAGTCAAGTATTCATCAATTCTAGCTTCTAACATTTGCTCTCTGGAGTTAGAAACTGGATTTTCAGATGCCTTAGTCCATCAAGTCATGTCATGTTAGACCTCAAAGCTTTGTATGGAATTTTCTATATGCCTGCTCCTCATTTCAGTAGGGAAGTGAAGGCTATTCTTGTAAGTATGAACCATAAAGACCGGCAATTTAGATCAGTTTTCTCAAGCTGTTTATTAGCAAAAGTGAAACAACAGAAACCAGTTTTTAACCTTGCTTACATTACACTTGAAACTTGTACTTTATTGCTTTGTGTGTATAACTTGATAGACAAAGTTAGCAATCTTTTAGTTACTTAGTTACAGTTACTTTTATTGTTATAAAAGTGAACCAAGGTTATGTAAGTTCCATACATGCCACATTTGTACGAGCCAGAAATCACTATCAATCATTGTATCATTCTATCAATCACCCTCAAGTCATGCTGCTTTCGTAGCTTTCACATCTAATTAATCATAAATGCTCCTAATTGACCTTCCTAACAGTTTCCCAAACCCATCCTTTTCTCTCCATCGCCACTGACATGGTCATTGTTCAGATTACCATCATCTCCAGTCCAATCAATTACCATTGTCTCCAAACCATGTCTACATCTGTTCTCTTTCCATCCATCCTGTATACTAGTTACAGTGTTATTTCTAAGTGCCGTGCCTAATCAAGCCCCTCCCTTGATTAGAATCCTTCAATGGCACCTAACAGACTAAAAGAGATAAATCCTAACTGCTTAGTACGTCACACAGGGCCCTTTAAAATCTGGCATCCGCATACCCTTCCAGTCTTACCTCTCACCACTCACTCCACTTCTCCACCCCGGGGATTAGCAAAATGTTTTGCACTTACCAGACAATCAGTATTTGTGGAATTAAGAACTAAATTGTTGTATATGTACACAATGGAATACTACTCAGCCATAAGAAATGATGAAATCCAGCCATTTGTGACAACATGGATGGACCTTGAGGGTCTTCTGCTAAGTGAAACAAGTAAGAGGGAAAAACTCAAATACCGTGTGATGTCACTCATAAGTAGAAACTGAAAACAATGACAAACAAACTCATAGCAACAGAGATTGGATTGGTGGTTACCAGAGGGGAAGGGGGGAGGGAGGAGGGCGAAAGGCACGATTAGGCACATGTGTGTGGTGATGGATTGTAATTAGTCTTTGAGTGGTGAGCATGATTTAATCTACACAGAATTAGAAATACATCACGATGTACACCTGAAATTTATATGATGCTATTACAATAAAAAAAATTGAATTGCTTAAAAACACTGATACACAGAAAAGTTAACTGACTTGCTCACTATCGATACAGCTCCTCTAGCTACTCAACAATTTTTTACTACTTTCTAAATCCATGAAATAATAAAAGAGATATGCAATTGCATTGCTCTTTACCTAACACATCCATTAGTTCACACTTCAAGGAGACAAGTGTCTGGTCCTGGGTAAAATTTCTTCCTCCCTTCAATAAGACAGGTTATAAAAATTGGACAAAAATAGGGCCAGGCTCTGAGGCAAGTTAAGAAGTTGCTCGTGAATTCACTGTCCCTATTAATATCTTCCTCACTTGGCATTTCACTATATAGGCACATCTATTCAAACCGTGTGCTGTGAGTTGCCTCGCATATGCTTCCCCTATGGGCTATTTCAGGGAAATTACCAGCTTTCAAGTGAGGTCTTAGAGTAATGTGTGGGCTCCAAGCAACTGTGTGCTACTTTGCCATGATCCCTTATGTCTTTGACAATTTGCCATTCTATAAATCACAACATAAACATAATTTTAAAATAATTTTATTCATATGTTCCAACCCTCATAGGAAATTTCACTGTGCTTAATGCATTTAATAAATCATTAAATAAACCAAATGAAAGTAGAATGTGATATAAATAGACGTGAAAGGCTTTCCCTGGATGAAATTTAAGTTTACAAATGAGCCAGGAGACCTGACCAATAGGAAAGCAACCAAAATGTCTCTAGGGAGAGAAAAGGCAATATACAAACAATCGCATATGGTTCAATGTTAAAATGACTCCTGCCTATTTCCCCTGACATATTGATACAACTATTTAGCCTAATAAGTTTACGTTTCATTTGTTCAGAATCTTACAACTTTCTAATGTTACGGGGATCATCAGAGAGTGCTAACACTTCAAGCTCATATAAGTTCAAAATAGTGAATTATGATTCTTTCTGCCTGAATACTTTAAAGCTCTCACTGCTTTTCCTCTACTCTTGCCAGAATCCCCACTTTTAGGAAGGTACAGTAAATTAAATATGAGTCCTGCCCTTGGTATTCAGTGCTAATATGTGTCTCCAATTCTGGTTTTGTCAAAGTCATAGATATAGCTAATTATGTCCATATATGTTATGAGAATCCTTAACCATATCACTTTTGATTAATTTTATGAAAAAACATATACTATGCAGCATTTTACGGCAAAAATAAAGTTACTATGAACAAAAGACAGAATGATTTTCTCTTATCATATGGACAGGAAGATTCAACCAATTTTTCTGTCTTACATCCATAAATGGTGAGGTCATATCGATGAATTACTGGATGGACAATAATGTTTAATGAAGGGAGAGAGAATATGGAGAAATAGTCTCATTTCCTTGCAATACTTTTTAAGTCAATATTTTGCTGTTTTTGTTGCATTTGGTATTACAAATCCCAGTACTGGATTAAATATAAACTAGTTCTTAGAAAGCTACTTAAACTCCACTAACCTTCAATTCCTTAATCTGGAAATTAAAAGAGTTGGATTGGACCACTTAATCTCTAAATGTTCCCTAAAGCTTGTTCTACTTGTATAATTCTGCAATTTCATTATTCTTCTTGTACATTATAATTTCTCAATCCCACTGTGCCAATTTTCACATTTGTCAGAAATGTCTCATTTATGGCTCAATGTTAAAATAAATAATTTCTTTGCATCAGCATCGAGGGAGTACATTTTCCTCTTATTCAGAAGGGAGAAGCACAACCCAGATAGCCAAGATAAATCATAAAAACTCTTACAATTATTGTCACATGTTTATCATGACCATGTCTTGAAAGTGGGGAATCTAAATCTTTTATTTCTGATTGATAAGGAGACTGAATAGTTACCTAGAGTGAAAAATTTTTTTAATTGGCCTTTCAAGACAGTAAACAATATTGAAAAACTTATAACGTCCGTGTCTAATATTTATGTAGTATTTATCATCAAAAGACTCAGTGCTTTCAAGCAATGTGATCTAAGTAATCTTCACATCAGGAGTAGGAATGGGTTTTTTACATGTGTCAATATGATGGAGCTAAAGCACCAAGAAAGTTACTTGATTCTTTGCTTAAGAATAACAATTGAGTTCAACAGCTTTCCACTGGGTAATAAAGAAAATATTGTTTAGTGGAAACTATCTCAGGATGTCTGCCCAGCCCACATCCTCTTCTTTGAGAAGGCCCTCCTACTGCCACTTTGCAGTCATTTTTGTACTTTGCTCCCTGTCTGTGGCTGATTGGACCAAGAATGGAAACCCTCTCCTAGTATAGCCAATTCATTGGCTGAGCTGTTACAATCAATATTCCCAATAACTGGGTCAAGAAACACTAGCCAGTTGGTTAGTGACACTCAAGCTGGAAGGCCAAGTAACCTAGGTTGGGTGCCATATGCGCTTAACGTATCAAGAGAAGAGGGAGGAGAAGACAGGGAGGGAGGGGTAGACACCACTATATTTCTACCCTTGGGTTATGTTAAAAAAAAAAATTCTACAAACCCTATTAATTCTCCTCTTTAATTCAATCTAATTTGAGTTGATTTTTATTCTCTGTAACAAATCCTTCTCTAAGACCCAATGACTCTCAACTCAGCCTATGATTCTCTCCCAAACCCTCTTTTACGGGACCAATGTGGTATCTAGTAACTCCTACCAACATTAGCAAAAGCAGATAAGGGGATTCCACCAGGTATAAAACAGTCATCTAGTTCCATAAATGATAGCTCTGACCAATTACATTTGAAAAGATGTGACTTTTTTGTGAAAAAGATCAATGTCCTTCCAAGTGAACTTTGATATTAAAGAGTCCAAGGAGTCCAGCCTGGTGGCATAGTGGTTAAGTTAACATGCTTTGCTTCAGTGGCCTGGGGTTCATGAGTTCGGATCCCAGGCATGGACCTTCACGCCACTCATCAAGTCATGCTGTGGCAGTGTCCCACACACAAATTAGAGGAAGATTGGCACAGATATTAGCTAAGGGCCAATCTTCCTCACCAAAAAATAAAAAAGAGCCCAAAAAGTGACTCTACACAGATCCTGGACTTCCCCTTTCTCTACTTTCTCTGCAGAAAGTAAGCTCTGGCTCTACTATTTGTAATTAGAAAGTATCTATTATGAAAAAGTGATGGAAGCTAAAACTGATTCATGAGCTTTTGTTATTTCTAATTATTTCCTAAGCCCAGGAAAACACAAAACTACTTTAAAATGTTTTTTGCTATACACATTTTAATAAACTAGCATGGCTAACCACTTTAGCTTGCATCAGTTTTGAAAAAGTAGAATATTACTTCCAACTTCAACAATTGATCCCCTAATTTAAATCCCTTTTCTGTGTATGTCCCTCTGGTTCTATGTACATATGGGTATACAACATCAATTAGAAAACAGAACCATTATGAATAACCTTGAAAAGGGATTTATGATAGGAGTTTGACCTTACACAATTGTGAGAGCTGGTCAAACAATCTTTGGAAGCCTTCTGCTTCTGCATCTGGGGCTGGGCCTGCAGTTGGCAGAGAAGGTCATAAGGAAGGACGGATGTTGTTGAACTGGAGAGGACAAGGATAAACTGGAACCGAAGTCAGTCTCTCAATGCCTCCAACTTTGATGACATGAGTGTCCTGCAGGAGAAACTGGTGTTTTTCAACATAGACAGCTCAATGTACCCTGATCGGGAGTCAGAGCAGCTGAAGATCTGGCAGGAACGGGAGAAGCCACAGTCTCACTGCAGCCCCATACCAACAAGGTGAGCCAGCAAGTGAACAGAAACATGCGAGAGCAGCCAGCAGAGCACAGTGGCCTGAACTGACCTTCTGAGCATAAAACAACAAGCCTTTTGCTTCACTTCTGACTATCAGATCTCACGCACAATGTTTCTTGCATCCCGCGTTAACCTGGAGGTGGGGAGGCAGGGAATTCTGGGACATTTATTTCCAATTTAGCTAAGCTGACATAGTGCAAATCCACCACTGTGGTTGTCGTTTGCTAACATCCTCTTATCGATGAAAACCAAACAAAACCCAAATCTTAATTTCTTCATTTATTTGGCAAGTCATATCTGTGTTGAAACAAGAAAAATCATAACCTGGCCAAGTTTCAAGACTCCATTTTTTCTCACCAGGAACCTATGCAATAGGTTAATAATTTACAAATAATAATAATTTTTAATAATTAATATTGCTCAATTGAATTAAATTTGATTTGATTAGGTAGCTTGCAATCCACAACTTGGTACTTGACCTGATCCCTTCTTTCTATCTGTGTCAATGTCCCTTGATCATCAGGTTAAGCCCATATTTATTTCTCTTTTCCTTTCTCTTCCCAGCTAGTGCTTGAGTAATTGCCAATAATGTAAAAACATAGTGCAATCTGTGGTTAGTTCTCATGGATCTTTAAATTATTCGAATTGTAAAGAGAGGCATCTGATGACAAATAGCTTGGACTTCTAAAATATCCATCCAAATGGAAACTATATTACTGAAGTTATATTGCATTTGTTCGAAGGCATAAACACACCACTTACTTTGTTTTACACTGGCTGTTTGCAAAGCTTTTGCAGGTTACCCAGTTCATTTTTTGTGTAAGATAAATCAAATTGTCTCCTACTGCTAGTGGAGCTCTGTTTTCTCCAACATAGTTTCTTAATGTTTGAGAAATGATAGATCCTCATGAGAATGTATGAAAACCATGCACTCTCTCCTCAAAAAACATAGAAATAAATACACACCCTATACAATTTTAGAGGAGTCAGGGACCCTCTGAAGCCCATTTACAGATCCTCTGAAATAGTCATAGGCCCCAAACTAAGAAATCTGATTCTTGTTTAATGATAATGGTTATGAAGAAGAATCCTTGAAACCTGTAGGATACTAATTCAAATGTATCACACTACATTGAAATCTCCTTGCAGGGGGTGGGGGAGGTGATACATACATCACATTTTTAAGAGACCTACGAGTATCTACACTAGACAGTGACTGTCATTCTGAAACTGTTTTGAGGTTCAAAGGTTGCCTCCCTCCCTCTGAACTGTGCCTTTTATATTTCATTACCATTCGACCACTCACCTGGTGTTATAACAAAGGGTTTTGCGCTTAATTGATGCCCAACTCATGTATTTTAGCACATTTTAAATTACCTAATAGTACATGGTTATTTTATTCTTTATGAAAATGTCCTCAAATTTTCTAATCATGTTTCCATTTGATGAATGGATCTCAACATTATTTTCATTCCCATTGGGTGCTAATCTGATACCAAAGTTTGGACACTGTTGTCAATCCCCAAGCAAGAAACAGATTTCTGTTTTAGTAACCGAGCCTGGTTGCATTTGGAAAGTAGGATCCCACAATTTAAAAAATGTCCAGTTTCAAGTGGAGAATTGTTTTCAGCCTACACACATCTGTATAGATTCTACATCATCTAAATCACAAAGCAAGGTTTTGATTTTTAATTCGATCTGGCATGAAATGGAGTGTAACATCTGTGTCGCACATATTTCACCTTTTTACCCCTTTTGCTCATTACCATCATTTTTCTACCCAGAGGTTTCCAACTGCAAATGTTTGGAAATCTCGATCTTTATTCTTCAAGATAAGGAATTTTAAAAATCAGTTTACTGTGCTTAAAACTCAGTAAAAATGTTACAGGATCAAGGTGAGGAAATTCACATATTAGAGAAAAGAATTTATACAGTTCTTTGTCTAAAACTGGCTTCTCTTTAGTGAAATGGTGAGGAAAGATATAAAGTATTCCTCCAGCATGCCCTCCTGACAGCTGTGGTCCTGCCACATGGCATCTGTTCAGATCAAGAGTATGTGGCCACCATGCCCTCCTGTGTGGGCACGTCTTTAGGGGTCAGCCGGAGCTCTGTCTGTCTCCTTGAACTCCATCTAGGTGACTCCCAGAAAAGCAAGAAGGGAGAATGGCTTAACGGACTGGTCTTGATATGCTGTACCCAGAAGTTACGCTAACTAACTTGCTAAATCTTTTTTCCCCCAGATATTTTCCCTTTCTTCTGCCCTCTGATTTCTAGCTGGTAACCAGGTTTTTAAATTGCTTGTCTCAGAGATTCTTGAAATCACTTCCTTCACTCCCTGAAGAGATCTGCTGGATGATTGGGAGGGGAGGAAAGAAGAGAGTGGCTTTGAAACGACCAAGGAGGAAAGGAGAGATTTCCTGGGAGGGGACCCCAGATAGAAAAGAACCGTTTGGGTCCATGTGTGTATGTGTATTTATATATATGTTTGTGTGTAGGGGTTAGCTGCAGAGTCAGAAGTCACATAACCACAGTAACCAAAAACAGTGACCGACACCTGCCAGTATTCAGAAAGAAACAGAAATAAACATGCCAGAAAGTTAAAGGGACTTGTATTGAAATGGCTCACTCTTCTTCTACTAGACTGTATTATTGAGATTTCTATAAGTACTTTCTTTTTAAATAAAAAACATTCACAAAACAAAGATGATAACCTCTTTTAGCTCTGTTTTTCAAGACGAGGGTGATTAGAAGAGGGCCAGTTGGAGCCACATAATTTAGGTGCCTCAAGCTGTCTTTCTCCCAATTACTGCAAGAATGCATCTCACCATCATGATACGGTAACTTTAAATATACCCACACATGCTAAAGCATTCGTCGAAGCGCAATCCTCCATGTAAAATAATGCTAGACACCACGATAAAGGAGCCAAACACGTGTTAAAATACAAGGTGAAAATTAATAAGAAAGAATTCTGAGTTACTTTTTAACATATTCAATATTGTGCAATTGTGCAAATTTATCAAACTTCTGCTTTCTCTCTACATATATAATTGGAAAGCTCTAATTTGGGAGATGTCAGTTTAAACAACTTTTAAATTGTTCAGTTCTTTAAGAAATCCCAGTAACTGAAAATATTAACTGCACGATGGGTGAGAAAATCACTCAACGAAGAAAAACAACCTGAAATCCATTTTGAAGCAATGCTGTAATTGGGTTGACCTATAACCCTTGCTAAGCCGCTTTCAAAATTAACATTGGAGAGCAGTAAGTTGTTTTGATAGTATTCCTTTTGCAAAACAGTAAGTAACTACACAAAACACAAAGCTCCCTAAATCTGCTTAATTGTATCTTCATTTATACACATTTTTAATGAAGAACCCAAATTAATTGCTAACTGTGGAGTAGCAGAGTATACAAACCTATTTATTTTTGTTTAAAAAACACACAGCTGTCCCTTTGAGAGCCTCAGGAGGTAAAGTTAGATGGCTCACCAGTGCTGGAAGTTCTCCACATTTATGGCTTACACACGTAATTTTTTTTACCACTTGTTCTTTACGTTTGGTAGTGAATGGCTATATTTGGAATTGCTGTCTTGTTACAGAAAAATAACTCTATACTCTGTAGTCTAAAGACTTCTTTTATATTCAGCAAGTTTCTGAAACCCAGAGTGTAAACATGGATGTAGAAAAACTCCATTAGCCAAGTATTACAGCTTTTCATAGCTTAAAAAAATAGACTTTCAGAAAAATGGCAGATATGTTTGCTTGTCAACTTAGACCTACATTACTCTTCATCAGTATCAGGAGGTTATACTTTGAATTAATGTGGAATTATGTCCTGGACAGTTAACAAGATATATGAGAGTATAACTATAAATAATGAGACAGATTTTCTCTACCACAAATGGAAATGTTGTTATTCCATCCATTATCTTGCACGGCAAGTAGTAATATTTTTACCCGATAATTTGGGGTGGTGGGCAGGACAGGGATCACAGGACAGATAGCATCTGGGGGCTGGGAGGATGGTATCCAGCCCTTGCTGTTCCCACAGGCCACTTACTGACTCCAAGCCTCAGTCTTCTCACCTATACGACCGAGATTATACTGATGACCATACATTTGACGTGTAGACTGAATAATATTGTCTGGAAAGCACAACATAGTCCAATGTTCCACGCGTGAGTCCTTGATGACATGGAGACGATTGTGATCATTGCTAAGAGGCTCAAGACAGTATATGTCGTCTGTGCTCTGCCAAACTCCCTCAGATCCCTTTCGATTTTCCTAGATACAATGCTCTCACTTCCAAAGGTGACATCTCATCAGAGGGCTACCCTCAGACTGCCAGAGCCTACTTTTCCTGCCTGGACAGAGAGCAGAGAGTACCTGGAGATGTACATCGTCCAGGTACAGGCCACAGGCAAGGACTGAATTTGTGTGGGCATAAATACCCCAGTTCCTGAGACCCGTGGCAGGGCAGTGTCTCCAGAGCTTCTTCACAGGATTGAGACAAAGTTAACCTCCCTGGAACTTTGCTCAATAACGCACCCTTGTTGGCCTCTTCTCCTTCCCAGTCCACTGTCTCCTCTTCTTCTGTTTTTCTCTTGGGGATATTTCTTAGTAAACTGCTTTTCTACAAATCCTCGTCTGAGGATTGGCTTCTAGGGAGCCGCAATTTAAGGTAGTGATGAAGAAGGAGGGAAAAGAGGAAGAGAGGAGGAATGTGGATGTGATGGATAATTTCATGGGTCAAGTTGACAGGCCACAGGGTGCCCAGGAATTTGGTTAAATGTTATTTCTGCATGTGTTTGTTAGAGCATTTCTAAATAAGATTAACGTCTGAATAGGTAGACTGAGGACAGCAGATTGCCCTCCTCTGTGTGACTAGGCCTCATCCACTGCGTCAGACCTGAATAGAACAAAAGACTGAGAAAGAGAATTCACTCTCTCTACCTGATGGTCTTCAAGCTGGGACGTCAGTCTTCGCCTCCCTTCACGCTTGGACCGGAACTTACACCATCAGCTATCCTGGTTCTCAGGCCTTCAGACTGCAGATCTGGTGACTTCTCAACCTCCATAATTGCGTGAGCCAATTCTTTACAATAAATAAAAAATAAATATACGTTCTTTATAATAAATAAAAAATACAATAAATAAAAAGTATATATCCTAGTGGTTCTGTTTCTCTGGAGGACCCTGACTAATACAGAGGAGGATTCAGAAGTCAGTCAGTCCCTAATATTCTTCACTTCCCTTAAATTAGAGTAAGAGTGGGGAGTAAGAGGCAATAAGCATGAATAGAGAGAGTATTTCTGTGGTGGCTGGTGGAGCCAGGACAAGCCTTCCTCTCTTTCCCCAAGGAATATGTGGGAGTACAAAAAAAAATATGGATCAGAAGACACATTCTTTCCTGTTTGGATTTGCAATGCGTATAATTACCATCCACTTTACAACATTTCTCTGTACTAGTCTAGAATCCTGCTCCTATGAGCTTGCTTAAGGTCAGCTGCTTAAAGTAAGGGGCCACCTGTGAAACCCCAGTGCTCACTGAATATTTGATGCATAAATTAGTGGCCGAGTAAACCAATGGCATAAACTTCACAGAATCACCTCATCACGGCTATATTTTGAGCATCACATTTTATAACATGTTTCTTTGACTAGGAAAGACTACCTAGCACAACAAGAAGGACAGGAGCCAGGACTCAGGAGCCCTGAATCCTGACTGGTGTGTTTATCACTACATACTTATCTGACTTGGGACAAGTTGCCAACTTTTTGAGCTTCAGTTTCTTCATTAGCATATTAAAATGTTTGAATTTTGAATATTTCATTAGTGTTGACATTGTAGTTTACTACTAGAAAAAATCAGGTAGAGAAGAATGGAAAACACAAATTTTCTATTTGAACACTATACAAAATCCAAAGTGATGCTAGCCACCCATCCCAGGATCTGAAGCAGACAGAATTTTGCAGCTCTCTTTAAGACTACAACATTATAAACTCAAAACTAAGTATATAAGTGCACATTATTTTATATGAGAAAAAAGTCACAACAAATTACCAAATCCAAAAGTTAATAAATAGCACAAATATAAAAAATATAAGATAACGTATTTTATTAATCAACCACCTGACACAACTCTATTTTCCTAAAATTTTTGGCCACATAGTTTTTGATTGCTTCTCCATGTGATAATAACTTTGCAGTGTCATAGAGAAAATAGAAAGATAGCTTAATCTTGCTTTTTGTATGATTGAAAAGTTATTTGTTTATTGATAGCTTAGAAAACTTTTTAATGATTTGTCATCAGAGCTTTTAAATCCCCTTGTGACATGTTAAGATAGTTTTTGGCATTTTGAAGCTTCTGCCAGTCTCCTGTCTTTTCACTTTTTGGGGGAGCTTCCAGAGACATAGTTCATTCCAATTATATTTGAACATTGATCTGATTAACAATTATGAAAAAAATACAGAATTAAACTGAAATTAAGTCATACATGATAAGTCAAACCAAAACGCATTTTTAAACTGCCAGTCCACGGTATTGAGCAGTACGACTGTGTAATCAAACTCCTCTACATGAACTTACTGATACATGTGCGTCAATTTCCTCTCCTGTAAACGAAGTGGATTTTATAGGGTAATTTTTTTCTTTACATTATGAAAACTTTCAAATATAGAACAAAAATCATCCAAATACCCACTGCCTAGATTTGTTAACATTTTGCCATATTTACTTCATCTGTATATTATGTTTGTCATTTTGCAGTTCTGATGACAATTTTGCGTGATACTTCATTTGAACCTGTCGGAGTTCCTTAGGTAAAGATGAGCAAGATTCTCTAAGACATGATATGATATGTTTGGATGCATAAAACATGAAACTTCTCATCTGGAGGTATTCACAGTGTAGTACAGCAACAGGTTTTCTGATAAATTCTATTTTGTGCAATTCCCTTCCACAGTATGTATATACATATGCTACATTAGCCAGTATCCTCCTAACAGGAGACAACTGGCTTTTTGATCAGGCATGCATGAGGATCAAATCTCAGCTTCCCAATTTACATATATTCTGATTGGATGACTTTTCCCAGATTAACTGTGGCTCCATTCATTTCGACCCATATGTTTCCTCCACTCTTCACACATACCCTGCACCAGACACTGTATTTCACGTTGTTTTAAGACTTCCAGCCATGGATTGTTAGAGTATTCCTAGAAGTCATCAGTACCCCTGGAGAGCTAGCAATAACTTCACTTTGCACAGCAGTGATTGCAAGCAAAATCAATTATCCTATATGTTTTCAGTGGAATCCCAAAAACGTTCACATCCATTCCAATCCCACTTGATGTGAGTGGGTATGTGTGTGTTTGTGGGGAGACCGTAAGGGAGGAGAAGCCAGATTGAAAAGAAATAATGATCTTAAGCAATTACGGCTAAGATAGTTTTCCTTGATAAATTTAATGTAAATGGCTTTAAAGCGCGCCTAAGTGAGAGCCAAAGTTGTAGCTGCATGAACATCATGGTCGATCTGTCTCTGTTCTTGTCTGTCCTCTCATGTCTCTGGTGAAAACCATATCCAAGACTCCCAGAGCTAGGACACTTAAATCATCCTGTGAATGGGCTTATGGTTATAGAGGAAAACGTTCTTGATTTCTGAATACACAAGCTCAAGTATTTAAGGATGAAATATCCTGCCATCTATAATTCACTTTAAAATGACTCAGCAAAATTATAGACATGCATACATTGATGAAGCAAATATGGCAAAATGTTAGCAAATGTTGAACCCAGATGGTGGATGTCCATTGCAACATTTTTTCTACTGTTCTGTGTGTTTGAAAATTTTCATAATAAAAGTCTAAAAACAAGGCACTGTATGAAACTCATTTATGCAACAGAAGGGGAAACTGAGGCCCAGAGGAGCCAAAGGACCTGCCCGAGTTCACAGCAAGCTGCCCCTCATTCTCTGTGGCTGCTTCTCCTAATGAGAGGAGCCAGGATTCTCACTTAGGGGATTTTCCTGCGGTAAAAGTCAGGTTTGCATTTGACTACTCATTCTGCAATATCTCCTTGCAACACAACAGAAATGCACAGGGATTGTGATAACAAAATGCTACAGAGTATGCTTGTTCCCTTCTTCCATTCATGAGTTATGTCTGGGCAGTTCAGGTAGCCAGGCTATGACTCTGCTATCCACTGACAAGCCTGGGAGCTGACACAGAGTACTTTAGCTGCTCTCCAAGAGTGAATTTCTTGGTTACATGCTAATTCTAGTGTTTGTTTTGTTTGCAGGTGTTTAGCAGTTTTCTTTAACAGGTACATGGGGTATTATTCTCCCAAAGAAAGTAGATCACATGAGGAAATCCAGAGGACACTTCCTTCTGTGGGAAGAACTTTGGCAACCATGTGAAAATGGACAAAGGAAAAAGGAAAGATGAGTTTACCCAGCCTCAGCGGCAATCTCTACTGCACTCTACAATTTCATTTTAAAGAAATCTCCTTGGCAGTTGGTCAGTTCCCAAATATGTATTGAGTATGTTTTCTGTGTCCATATTGATGCTAGTGCAAGGCTGTCACAGGCGCATAGTGACTGAAGGAAAGATGTCAACAGCAAAAAGCTACAGGTGAAGAAGACAAGAATTCATCTGTGAATGAACAGCTCCCCAGAGCTGGGGACAGAGTAGGAGACTCCTGGGGGAGCAACAAGCTTCAGAGCCCCAAAGGGCTCTGGAGTGATACCACCCTCTTGGTGTGAGGAGCCTATCAGATCCTCAGAAATGCTCACTCTTACTATCCTCAACTTTTTAAGTAAACTCCTTGCCCCCAGGATGGCTCTAGAGAGGTCGGTTCCAGGCCTGATGCTCACAGGGTCAAATAACCAATACCAAACCCTCCTCCATATTCCTGAGCATTTCCTGTGAGACTCATTGAATCAAAGGTCCCAGGCATGCCACCTCTTCAGGATAGAATTCAGGCTGCCAGAGAGTTATTCCTGTGGCTAACTTATGGTAATGCAGCGGTGAACAAGACAACCACTGCCCTCATGGAGCTTAGAGTTCAATGACCAGAGAGACATTAATCACCGTATTTTTAAAAAGAAATTGTAAGTAATTTCAAATTCACAGATCTTTGCAAAAGAGAAAAAGGAGTCTTAGGCATGTGAATGTAGATATCTGGCTGTTTGTCTATTCACTATCTAGCTAACAGACATACACACACATGCATTTTACCACAAAGACCTTGAGAGCCTTACTCTCAATGATAACTTCTTTGCTTACAAAGAACAACTCCCTTAAATAATGGTGCTTTAGAGTAAGACAAGAATCTCAGACATTCAACCAGGCCTCATGGGAACCCTAGAGGCACTGAGGCTGTGCTTGCAGAGTCCCTAAAACTATGGGGAATTGGAAGTACCTCTATTTTCCAGGGTAGCTCTTTCTACTTGGTTAACTGCACTCCCAGCAAAAGGGCTGCATGGGTATCAATAATAATAGTGAACATATACTTCGGAATAGACATTCTAAATGCTTTACTTTTATGTGAACATAGGAGGAAGAAACTGAAGCATAGAAAATTTAGCTGACTGCCCAAGTTCACAGAGGCAAGATTTGAACACAGGAGTCTAGTTCCAGAACCCTGACTTTTAGCTATTACTTCTCTTATTATAGTGATTTAATACTTCTCTGTCTTTTGCCACTATCAACTAACCATCTCGTCCCCTGCTCTGATCTTATACACACTCCTGTGTGTTAGGAGGTTATGTTTCATAGCCCCTGACACTGACTTTTCTCTGTCTTTGTGCTCCTGTTCCCACTGACAACTGACTTTATCTCTCTGTATCTCAAGTCAAAATTTTAGAAAGAGAAAATCAAATTGTCCCTACCAAAGTTCTTATAGTAAGCCGTCTCCTCTTTCTATAATTTGCTGCCCTCAGGTCAGATGTCTATCCGTATCAGTTATCTATTGCTGTGTAATAAGTTACCCAAAAGTGTAGTCATGTAAAATAGCCACTTATTATGCTTTATGGACTTTGTGGGTTAGGAATGAGGACAAAGCAGAGTAGGGACCACTTGCTTGACTATGTCTT